TGGGATCAAAAATACATTTCTTAAAATTATGAATAACTAAAATACGAACGACACATAGTCATAATGTGAGGACAAATAATGTAAAAAAGAAAATACATCATTAACACCTTCATGAATAACTAAAATACGAACGACACGCAATCATAATGTGAGGACAAATAATGTAAAATACATCATTAACACCTTCAAGCTATATTGTCGATGATGATTTCTTTCATCAAAACTCGATAAGTATTTAGAGGAAGTATGCTCCTAAAACATTCTAAAATTTTAGTATCATATGATACATTGTTTTGATCAAAAATACGTGACTCACAGAAAGTTCAGAACAAGTAAAAAACAGACTGTATAGGTTATTGTACTAACAAGCCCTCTTTTTGTGTGACACCAAATCGTATTCAAGTAAAAACTTGAAAGTTGTCGGTAGAAAATGTAATACTGAGTTCACAAATGTCCCATTTCAGACACACTGTACAAGAATGGCTAAAAGGGTGAAAAATGTGAAAATTTTGAATCAGCTATTCGTGAGATAATAAATATATATATATGTGTAAATAAATAAATAAATGTACTATCACACAAATAGCTGTCCCAAAACTTCATATTTTTCGTAATTTAAGTGAGTACCTCTTAAAAAGCAAATAAAAGGTGACAGAAACTTTGTTGGAAAACACTAAGTAACAAAATATGATTGTGAACTACTAAATAACTAAATATGACGGTGAACTACTAAATAACAAAGTATGAATGTGAACTACTAAATAACAAAGTATGAATGTGAACTACTAAATAACAAAGTATGAATGTGAACTACTAAATAACAAAATATGACTGTGAACTACTAAATAACAAAATATGACTGTAAACTACTAAATAACAAAATATGACTGAACTACTAAATAACAAAATCTGATTGTGAACTACTAAATAACAAAATATGACTGTGAAGTACTAAATAACAAAGTATGACTGTGATGTACTAAATAACAAAGTATGACTGTGAACTACTAAATAACAAAATATGACTGTGAACTACTAAATAAAATATGATTCTGAACTACTAAATAACAAAATATGACTGTGAAGTACTAAATAACAAAGTATGACTGTGATGTACTAAATAACAAAGTATGACTGTGAACTACTAAATAACAAAATATGACTATGAACTACTAAATAACAAAATATGACTGTGAACTACTAAATAACAAAGTATGACTGTGATGTACTAAATAACAAAGTATGACCATAAACGGTTCCTGATAAGACCAGATTAGGTACCATCTGTTTACAGATGTAATATTGATGCCTTAACCTTACATCTTGTGGTTTATTTAAATTTTATTATCAAAAGAATCTTAAGTAACTGATTTTCTGCTGATTCCACAGTTATTAACACCAGGTCAAAGTGAATATCATTAGCAAACCAACAAGCCAATCTGACAGGAAACAGATCAACAAGCCAAACTGACAGGAAACAGATCAACAAGCCAAACTGACATGAAACAGATGAACAAGCCCAATTGACAAGAAACAGATGAACAAGCCAAACTGGCAGGAAACAGATGAACAAGACAAACTGATAGGAAACAGATGAACAAGCCAAACTGGCAGGAAACAGATGAACAAGACAAACTGATAGGAAACAGATGAACAAGCCAAACTGACAGGAAACAGATCAACAAGCCAAACTGACAGGAAACAGAGCAAATTTCCTAATTTCAGGGATTTTTAAGATGACAAAAAATGAAAAATTTTTAGAGCTTTAGGCAACATTATATACAAAAAACAAGTGTTATATCTTTCTTTACATTTATTGATCACCAATGGGAATTATCAGTAATTTTTATTTTTTGTGAATAACTAATATGTAGGAGTTTATACTTAAGCCTTTTTTGATAATGTTTCCTCTTAATCACATTAGTAAACATATTTCTACTGCAAGCTTTATCATATAATCCATTACATTGTTAATGTTTACATCTTGTGTTCTTTCTAAACTTTTGGCTGTATCAAACATTTCACTTAATGCCTAATTTTGGTTTTCATACTTAGAATATTTTGAACTATCTTTTTGAGTTTTAATGCTTATGATGGAAGTTGAAACAATTCTGAAACATCCATAATTAAAGGTGTTTTCCTGATATTACAGTGTTTCTAGCATTTATTACAAAACTTTGTTTTTATCTGATGAATCAATTGTATAAAGCAGTTAGTGAACAACACATCCATGTGATATCATTTTTAAATAATCAGTTACTTTGTTTAATATGAAACTTGTATCATACTAAAACCATATACCTGACTTGTTCACTGCAAAGTATGATTGGCTTTTATAAGCTATCATTCCAAGGAAACATTGGCTTTACTAGTGAAATAAAAAAACTATGAAAAATAAATAAATTAAAACTATAAAACTGAGAAAGTGATATAAAATTTACTTAACTAACAGACAAATGTGTTAACATGCCACAAATTATTACTTCCAAGATTTTGAAAAAGTATTAAATAACTAAGCTATCAAAAGTATGGTGGGTTAATGTATTCAGTATTTCCATATACTTTATGAAAAAAGACGTTTTTCTCATAGTAAATGTGTAAACAATTAGTGAAATTTAAAAAAACTTTTATTTTTACTTCTAAAATGTTCTTACAACTGTAAAAACCTTAAAAAAAATTTTTCTGTTCATCATCACTGATATATTCAACAAACTTTACTACAAATTGCTGTAATATGTTGTTTCAGACACTCATCCTATGAACTAACTTTGTAACAGTTTATCATTACTTCTACTCCATATCATTGATACAATTAAATCCTTATTACAGATTGTCAACTCTTGTTTCTTACAATTGATATAATAAACTACCTTTTTTACAGGTCATCATTTCGTCTACTCCAGGCAATTGATATAATTAAAAATATTTATGATAAACTCTATTCATTTTCTCTATTACAAATAAATGATATGATCAACAATCATCATAATTTTTATCATTCCAGATTATTTATAAAACTAAAAACTTCATAATACATCGTCTTTTCTGTTCCAGATCAGTGACACTATTAACAATCTTTATCACAGTATATTATGTGCTCTGTTTCAATTCCAGTTTTCTATTCATAAAAATCAAATTATAATATTTTTCTATTCAAAACTTGTACTCAAACCCTTATAATGTTTTGCAAAATATTTTTAATTATTGATTCTTACCACTAGGCTCCTTAGTATAACAAACATAAATCAAGCATTTCAACATTACTTTCTTCCTTGTAAATAATGTTTCCCATCCTTACTATTTCCACTGGTGACAATCTTCTTTGTGACTCATTCACTTCCATGTTGACACTGTGACAACTGGCTATAAAAATTAGCTACAGAAATAAAATCTGAAAACACTAACTTCACTAAGAATGAAACTGAACATAAAAGGAAGATATGATGAATAGAAACAGGAGAATATGGTGAATAGGACTTTTAAACAGAAATTAATATAGAAATGTTGGTATAACAAAAAGTAAACATTTAGCAGTTACATTAGAAGTAGAAAAATGTATTCCTGGTGATACTTGACAGGCGGCAGTGTATTTGGTAATGATAAGAAGAAATGAGAAATAAATTAATAGATGATGCTAGAAAAAGATAAGGAAATTTATACCAAAAAAGTTGGTGTTACAAAGAGGACAATATAAATAGTGATTGTTTAACTTAAATAGTGCTAGTGGTAGAAACATAAGGATTTAATTAACATTGACAGAGACATAACAAATCTGTTAATGTATGTAATGATGATGTTACAAAAAAAGGGAAACAGCCATTGTAACAATGCTATATAAACGTATTAATGGTTGTAAAAAAATATATGCAGTTACATGGTTAAAAAGAACAAGATCGGAATATACGCATTACAAGAGTTAAGAAGAGAAGTGTATTCCTTAATGATGTTAGGAACAGAGGGGTGTATGCATTAATGATGTTCAGAAAAAAAGAATGTATGCTGTAATAATGTTAAAAGGGTACACTTATGTAGTTATGATCAGCTGACGCTTATATTCCGATACATGGTAAATACTACACCAGTTGAATGATTTGTGACATTTATGCCAAACCAGGGACACAAAACACAGGAGATGTTTGATGGCTTGATTAAATTCCTTGATATTTGTGAGATAAGACATTAAAAACTGCCGTGGCAAGTCTTATGACAATGCATCAGCAATGAGTGGAAGATACAATGGCCTTCAAACCACAGTAGCTGGTGTAAACAACCTGGCAGCTTGGATATCTTGTGCAGGGCATTCACTGAATCTAGTGGGAAAGGCTGCAGCAGAATGCTGTCCAGCAGCTGTAGGTTTTTTTTCCTTCCTTGAACAAGTCTATGTGTTCTTCTCAGCCTCTACGCATCGTTATAAAATACTTACTGATATTCTAAAAACTGCTGATGGTCCAGTCACTGTACCTAAGAAAGTAACTACAACACGTTGGTCAAGCAAAAGGATTGTTGGAGCATATGTGTATGTTAGAAACTGGTATATGTACAGTGTTCCGGCATGAAATTCTACACAGGGCAAATGCAACAACACTTGTTTTGCAAGATCTAACACTTGACTTGAATATTGCAGTTGTAGCTGTTAAATCTTAAATCAATTAAGAAGTTTGTTGAAAACAAACGTGAATCTAATGATACATTTGAAGCTCAAGGCATTAAGAAATCAGGCACAACAGCTTATGCAAAAACACAGAAAGGCAAAAAAATGTTTGCCTTAATCATCTGGACTACGGCCAAGAATCAGAAGCAAACCTTACAGCTTCAGAGAAGTTTCATGTAGAGAATTTTCTACCAGCGACTGATCAGTTTGCGAGCTCACTTGATCAACATTTGTCAGCATATGAAAAACTTGTTTCAAATTTTGGATTTTTGGGTCATCTGGAAACACTGACGATGAAAGAAATTGAACAATCAGCAGAAATTCTAGTTGACAAGTACAACAAAGAGTTAGATGGCTCCCTAGGTACTGAACTGATTCAGTTCGCCGAGTTTTCAAAGGTTTTTAAAGATGAAGAAAATGACTGTATTGGACAGCACCATTTTCTGTACAAACTAATCATTGAAAAATCTGTGAAAGATACTTTCCCCAATGTTAAAACAGCTCTTCATATTTATCTTGTTTTAATGGTTACTAACCGTAGAGGAAAAAGATCATTCAGTAAGATGAAAATTATTAGGAAAAGGCTACAAACAGCAATGACACATGAACGGCTTAGTAAGCTAGCGATAATGAGTATTGAGTATGACATACTGCATGATTTGGACTTCAGTAATATTATCAAGGATTTCGCTAAACAAAAGTCATGAAAAGTTCCTGGTATATTGTAATTATTTCTTCACTACACACTTTCCTTTGAACTATGTCAAAAAACACATGTTAGTAAACTCTGGTGAAATATGATAAAATACCATGTTTTTTCATACAATACTTTATATAATAAACATTATTTTTTATACCAAACTGATTTGTATGTGTTTGAGTTTATGTCTAATTTTGTGTAATTAATAACTTGCAGATTTATTAAGAAATTTGTGGCTAGATATGAGTAAGACTGTAAGTAGAGACGTTTTAAAGAGGGCATGATTACAGCTATTTTTATATCATGTATTGATGAATACATTTTTTTCTGAAAGGGGTCCCCACATAATAGAGGCAGCCCAGGGCCCCCACATTTCTAAATTCGGCCCTGGCTACAACCTTCAATAGAAAGATAAATGAGCAACTGTAAACATAACAATCTTAATCTCAAAACCAAAAGAATTACTGACTGCTGTTGTGTTTGTATGTTGATTTGTGGAAAGGTTCAAACAAATAGATTAGATACAAACTTTCACTAGATACAAAACTGGACTAGGACACTTATATGCACAGCAACATATATATGCCATGTTTTTCTGAGTACAAGGATAATGTACCATCAATACTGATGCTACTGAAGCTCATAATAATGTATAAGATATTTAATATGTTAACATGAATAACAGAGACAACACTCACACACATGAATAAAGAATACAGCATCACAAACCATGCAACAGCAGCAGGGCTTCATAAAAACATTATTACAATTGGCCACTGAGAATCAACTGAGTTAAATGTTGGAATTTCTAAACTGAGATTCACAGAGGCGTTGAAATTTCACATTCAGATTTCAGTTTCTCCCCTAAGTCTTGACCTTGCAAAATCTTCAAAAATAAAATCATCCTCTCGAGAAGTTGAATCATTGACTCCTTCTCTGCAAAATTGTTTATCAGTATTTGATGAAATCATCACCCAAATATAAAAATACTCTTCTTTAAAGCATTTCATGATATATATATTGAGTAAAACATTTTACAAGAAACATGTCAGTGTTTATGGGAAGTATTATAACAGTGTTCTTAAAACCACAGTTTGTAATATGTTTCAAAAACCCTTTTTTTTAACTTTGGATAGTGATGCATAGATTTTTCAAAAAACACTAAGTTAAAAATAAAAAATATACCAAACAAAGTATATCAATTCACAATAAAAACTATATATCCCATTTTAACTCATTAACCCTACGAATACGGGCTGGGTAGGATCCACCCAGCTTGTAACCACGAAAGTATCTATGTGAGCATTTATATTATAATTTTTGATAATTTAGGCATATCTTTACAGAATTTTGAAAATTATTAGTAAATATTACATGGCTTTGATACACAATATATAATGTTTTTATATTAAGTATTAAGATTTTTTTCTTAAAGATTTGGTCGTGAATCTTTTCTTTTAGAATGTTGACTATCCAATGTGAAAATTAATTTTGATTTTACAATTAAAAATACTTTTCTTTATCTGAAAATTGTCAAGTTTCAATTGTGTAATCTTTGTATCCTTCTAGATAATCATCAAACGTTTATTGAATAAAACTTTTGAATATTTAATCAGTTATTTTGTCAATGTTAACATTATCTGCCTGGGCATCATTTACTGTGCATGTCACGAGATTTTAGTGGCTTACATTCAAAATTTTATTAAACTACTTTTTGTTTAAGTTATACCAATCAGTATAGCACAAAATCATAGCTAATAATCCATACTTTAATAGTATATAAGTTTTAAGTTCTTAATTTTATAAAGCAATAATTAAAAAAATCCTGAATTTCCCCTAGTGTGAGAAAGATGACAAATTTTCTGAAGGCATCCAATCTTCTCTATTTTATTCACCACCTTCCAATAAATAGGAAATTCAATATAAATTACTCACTCTAAAATATTCATTTCTCAGACAAACCATAATTTTTATAGCTTTTAATTTTTGTTTAGTTACAGAGCCATCAGATAGAAAATCAAACCCCTCTTGCCACACCTACCTGTCACATCCTCTCTTTAAGGATTTGTTAATAGTTCTCTCTTATACTTACTTCTATACTATCTATAACCAATAAAAAGCTATGGTTTTCATCTAGCAAATGACGTATTACATTATGTGTTGTTTTGAACATATAATTGTCAATTTCTCTTTTAGTATATTTTGTGCATTACTACCATTAGTATGAAAAAAAAATTTGGTTAAGTGTCATCGACAGTTAACAAGCAAAAAAAAAAGAATACACAGTTAAGTATTTTATTTCTTGGTCTTCATATTTATTCTTTATTTATTATTATAAAAGTAACTAAAATGGAAAAATAGGGAACTCTCTGGTTAGTTAAGGTTAGATTAGGTAAAATAACTAATAATAATAATATAATAAAAATATCTCACAAGACATGCACTGTTACAAGTTTAAAGCTATTTAGGACAAATGAATGTAATTTCATGTTAGATTTAAAGTCATTCTAGAAAGAAAAAGAGGGTAATTTAGATTTATTTCGATTTTTTTTGGTGGTTACAAGGTCGGTCAAATTGACCAGCCTTGTATAGAATTAGAGTGGAGAAAATAACAAATAAGATATAAAATTTTACTGAAAACAAACACCTGAAATGTATTTAAGAGGTTTTAGAGATTACACAACTGAAATTTGAGATTTTTGAGATGAAGAAAAGTATGTTTGATATTAACATGAAAATCACTTTGCACACACACTATTCAAAACAAATAAACAATATATTCATGAACAAATATTTTTTTAGTTTATTAAAAATACTTTACCAAAAAATATGATTTTTTGAATGTGAAAGACTTACAATGTTTACTGAAAGACTACCAAATTTCATGAAGATATACACATTATATTAAAAGTTAGAAGTATCAGATCTATAAAGACTCTGAATGAGTACAAAAAGTCATGTGGTTGGTCAAATTAATCGGACCAGTATTGAGAGAGTTAACTCTATATAGTGTTGGTCGATTTGACTGACCTTGTAATCATCATAAAAATTAAGAAATAAATCTAAATTACCTATTTTTTCCCTAGAGCAACTGCAAATTGTAACAGGAAACCACAAATGTATATTCTAAATAGCCTAAATCTCATGGCAGTATAAATCTATTTATGTTTATTAATTTTTGTTTTATTGACCTTAGAAACATGTCTAACTGGTGCATATGAAGATTTTAATTATTTTTCTTTAAATATATTACCTAATAAGTTTCTATTTTTTACATTTTAGTTACTTTTATAATAAAAATAGTGAAAACAAATAAAAAAACTCATTTTTATTTTAATTTTCATTAAGCTTTATATTTTATCTGTTACTTTCTTCACTGTAACATTATACTTGATTCTCCAGGTTATAGGAAGTAATCAAAGTATAGTGAAAATAAAGGTTGCAAATGCAAAATAAAATGTATAGTATTGTTAGTACTGATCACAAAATTTCAAAGTACTTATGGTCAGAGTTTACACTTCTCACCTTTACACACTTATTTTCTGGAGTTATTATATTGCTAACATATGTCCTAGAAACTTGAAGAAACAAAATGAATAGTACTATCTGTCCCTATCAGTATGGACAACAAAGTTCCAAAGTACATCTCCTGAGTTTCTTCTACTCTTTTTACACTTATTTCCTATGTAAATAAAGAATATTCAGAAAACAATGATCTCCACTACTTACAGTGATTGAAGTTTTTTGTTGCACTCGTGAGTGGTACTTACTAACCCTTGTTGTAAGCCTTGTCCAAATTCACAGGTGAATTTTGAAAAAAATCATTTTTGTAGGCTTTATATATATATATATATATATAGATAGATAGATATGCATTTTTGAATACCTAAACTTATAGGTATAGTAAAAAGCAGGCATAGATAAACAAGTCTTCTCAAATAATGAAGTGGTTGGCAGAGCCAATATGATGGATTCAATAAATATCATGATATCTCAGCAAATAGAAAAGGTAGGAGGTTCTTATTTTATATTCTAGCTTGCCAATATTGGAAATTTGGGTTTATAATTTGAATAAAACTATAGACATAAAATGTAACCTGACCAAACACAGAAGTTGGCATACCAGTATGACACACAAAAATTGATATTTAACAATTTTCTTTTATATTTACTTTAAAATTAAGATATTAACTAATATATAATACTAAAATTTGAATTATAATCTACACTTTAATACCAAATTTCATTGATATAAATAAAATTTTGAATGTAATTCTATAAAAGTGATGACATGCCCTCTAGCCCCCACCCGTCACGATAGGGTTAACTTCATGTGCATGCCACAACCTTTTACAAACGCCATTCAACATGGTATTATATATTTGATAATAGAGTTATCAATTGTTCATTTCATCCTACAATTTTGATTTAGCAAACGTTTGTTGCTGAGGAGAGTAAATATCAGATAGAATATACAGGGATACGTAAAAATACTGTAGATATGTATTTTAGAGGTTCTAGAAGTTTTTGAGCTAGACTTGTAACCTAATAAGACATTTAAAAACACTTATTTTTATCTCTTTTTGTTTATTAATACAAATCACATGGGTTTTCTGGTCAAATTTGTCTTATTACTGTGTCCTGAAACTTACTGCTAACCCACCATAAAATGCTTAAAGAAATGAAAATGTTTTGCTATACTTAATGAAAATGTAATATAAAATATTTCTTCACTACTCATACTATCACCTACCAAATGTCAGTCTATGTATATTAACTCATCCCATGTATGCTTGGAGCTGAAATGGATGCTGCATAGTGACAGCTAGTTAACACACTTAAAACACATGTATACTTTAATAACACTATATACAAGTAAAGAAAAAGCTTTTCAAAAAAGGAAGTAAATGTAGGGATGACTAATATAAGTCCATATATGTAGGGAAGATGCATATGTCATCCCTACTATCTTGTTAGCATTATTTTTGAAAGATTGATATTAGCCACCCCTACATTTACTTCTTTTTTGTGAAAAGTTTTTCTTTACTTGTTTGCTTGGTTTTATAATACAGTGTTTCAACAGACATAGAAAGGTTGTATTTATAAGCAAGTTATAAATACAGTGAGGTTCCAACTGTAATAATTATTCTGTATCTATTATTGGCTGGCAATTTCTGTTTCACCCTGGACTTGAGCTTTTTAAAGTAACACCAAATTTCTGTAAGAAAGTTAACTTCAAAGGATAATGATAACATTGTTTACACTAGAATTATGATTTTTTTTATTACTAATAGTTAATACTACTTATAAAAGCAGATACTCTGTTTGAAACTATGTCACCTCAGTGAAATTGGTTGACACTATTGATTTGGTTTTTGAGTTACCTTTTAATAAAAAGAGAAGCAGAAGAAAGAACAAGAAATTCAAACTTTTGCTATATCAATTACAGATATTCCCAGAGCTTGTGACTCAGTCATTACATAAATATTGTTATAAAAGGAAACACTGTATAGTATTGTAAAGTTATGATGACCTATTGAGGAGATATTTAAAATACCATTTCAATGAACAAGCCAAACCATAGCCAGTGTTACCACCTGCCTGATATTGTATATACAGAAAAAATTAGATAAGAGGTGAGAAAAAAATTACAAATTCCATTTTTTGGATACTTCAGTCTTAAAGAAATATATATTCTTATTTATATCAACATCAAAAGAAAAGATTAATAGCAAATTAATTTGATTTTTCTATAATCTCCCAATATTAGATCTTTCAAATGAGATTTTAAATTGTAATGAAATCTCTTAACTTAAAAAGGGTGTCTCCCAGTGTGGTAACAGTAAGTTTACAGACTTACAATGCTAAAGTCCAGGATTTAATTCCAAATGGTAGACAATGCACACATAGTTTGCTATGTAGCTCTACACTAAACCAAGCAAACAGAAAGTGTTTCTTGTATTGCCCTTGTATGAAACTAAGTAAATTAGAAATAAAATATATAAATTCGTAAGAAAACTTTAATTAAAAGAGTTTTCCATATTTTTGTTAGGCCTAACATGGTCATTTGACACATTGTATTACTTATTTTTTTTATTTTGTACAGCAAAACTTATGACTAAGGTAAAATAAGAAACTTGAAGGACTCTCATATCTTTGTAGTCCTAACATGTATCATTGACACACTATGATAACTTTGTTGTTAGCTAACGTGAAACGTCTGGCACAATGTAGGATATATTTTCTTATTTGGTTCACTGACACTTGGGACTTAATTATTATAGATAGTTAGGATTATTGTTCAACTTTTTTTATACCTAACAAAAGTCACTGGTAAACCATGATAATTTTAATTTAACTACATTAGTCCTTAATAAGTGACTAGTGTGATTTAGTTAACATCTTTCATGACAAATTTTAGCACTTACATATCAAGCTGGATCAAATTGGTATCAAAAGAAACATTATTTCCTGCCTCACTTTTCTCTGAAATTGACTGATGATCTGACAGTGTGGTTACTAGCTCTTCAGGTTTTGGATGCATCAAAATAAAAGGAAGTTCTGCTACTACATCACTGTAACCAAACAAGGGTAATAATAACAATGTTTAATAATACAAATCACACAAGTTTTCAGGTTAAATTGGACTTATTATTGTTATAAGAACTATGTACCACTGAAACAATAAAATGAAATTTTTACATTTTATATCTCATTAGGTAAATCATTTATTGAACACTTCTACAAGGTGTGAAAACATAACCATCTGAATTTTTATAATACACTTGTTTTTTCCTGCAGAATGGTAGAAGCATTGGGTACATTTTCTTTAGTTCATGTTTGTTTTTGGATTTCGTGCAAAGCTACATGAGGGCTATCTGCACTAGCCATCCCTAATTTAGCAGTGTAAGACTAGAGGGAAGGCAGCTAGTCATCACCACCCACCGCCAACTCTTGGGCTACTCTTTTAGCAACGAATAGTGGGATTGACCGTCACATTATAATACCCCCATGGCTGAAAGGATGAGCACGTTTGGTAGGACGGAGATTCGAACCCGCAACCCACAGATTGCGAGTCAAGCACCCTAACCACTTGGCCATGCCGGGCCTTTTCTTTAGTTGCAGTGTCTCAAGTATGCAGAATAATGAGTTGAACTGTTGCCTTCACAGAATGGTTACACTTTCCGTTATATATAGAACAGGCGGTATTATTGTATATAAGTGCACTAGACAGAGAGAGCGGGGCAGAGACGAAGCAAGAGGCAGAGAGAAAAAGAGAGAGTGGAGAACCAAGGTCAGTGGTTATGGTCGGCGGGAACCGAGGATAGCAGATACAGTGATCGGAACTATAGTTGGCGGAGACGGACAATTAAGTCAAGCGCGGTAGAAAATGAGTGAATTGTTGTGAACTATAGTGTGTGTAACTGTGAAAATTAAGTGCATTACAAAGTTGTATTGAGGAAGAATAAATGAGTTTTATTTAAGAAAGGACTCGTATCGTAGAAAAATTAACAAACAAACATACAGAGACATAACAAATTGGTGTCAGAAGTAGGATCAAAAATAAAAAGAAGAAGATGGAAACAAGTGGCGGCAAATCAAACTACAGCTTAGCAGACTTGATGGCAGCAATACAAGAGCAGCAAAATATACAAGAAGAACGAGAAAATAAACAAGAAGAGAGACAACGGCAGTTGCAAGAAAACCTGCAACAGTGGCAGCTCGAACAACAAAATAAACAAGAAGAGAGATTACAGCAGTTGTTGGAGGAAAAAGAAAAGAAACAAGAAGAACGAGAAAATAAACAAGAAGAGAGATTACAACAGTTGTTAGAAGAAAAAGAAAAGAAACAAGAAGAGAAATTACAGCAGTTGTTGGAGGAAAAGAAAAGAAACAAGAAGAATGAGAAAAGAAACAAGAAGAGAGACAAAAGCAGTGGCAAGAAAACCTGCAACAGTGGCAGCTCGAACAGCAAAATAAACAAGAGAGACTACAGCAGTGGTTGGAGAAAAAAGAAAATAAACAAGAAGAAAGATTACAGCAGTGGCAACTGGAACAAGAAAGGAAACAGGAAGAAAGTCTCCAACAGTTACATGAAAGTCAACAACAGTGGCAAGAAGTACCCCGCAGCTAAACCCTAATGCAGACATCTTCAGCCCTGTTAGAAGTCACATCCCAGATATGAATGTCAGCAATAGGGGTGATCCAGTACGAAGGAAGCTACAGGAATTCGATGGGAAGGCACCGTGGGAAGCATATAGAGCACAATTTGAGCTACTGGCAGAAATGAATGGATGGACAGAGGAGCAGAGAGCAGTATATCTGGCAACGAGCTCGAAGGGACAACCACTGGAAATACATGGACAGTTGACAGCAGACGACAGACACAACCATAGAGCACTGGTAGCGGCTCTAGAACTCAGGTATGGAACCCAAAATCAGTCAGAAGTCTACACGGCTAGGTTTAGGACGAGAGTCCGTGCTAAAAGGGAGAGCCTGCAGGAGCTGGCACAGGATTTGGAAAGTATGGCCTACAAGGCCTACCCAACTGCACCACCCAATCTCCTCAAGTTGTTGCTGAGGGATCAGTTTGTAAATGCCTTGGACTGTCCACAAGTAAAGATACAAGTGAAGCAAGCATACCCCTCTACCATGCAGGATGCAATGGCCAGAGCTCTTGAATTTTAATCCTACATTAAATCCAGCACGGAGGTACCAAGGTTGGTACAGTCATCTGGATTCAAGGCCAGAAAAGGTCAGCTTTCACAGAGGTCCGAGGGACTTTGCTGGCACTGTAATAAACCTGGGCACAAGAGAGCTCAATGCTGGCAACTTCAACACAGGGGAGATGCCACAGCAGGAAAGGCTGCTACCCAGAAAGGTTGTTGGAACTGTGGAAAGCAAGGACATAAGAGGAGCCAGTGTAAGAAGAATATTACCAACAAGTCAGCCTCGGGGAGACCAGTAGTGGTTGGTGTTGAGGGACACTCGCCAACCCCTATCGTGAAAGTCCCAACAGCTAAGTGTAAAATGGCAAGCACACATAGTGTCTATGTGACAGGGAAGCTGGATGGCTAAAGGTGCAACTTTGTCATAGATTCTGCATCTCAGCAAACCCTTGTGAGTATTAAGATGTTAGATCACAAAGGCGTACCAGAAGCTGTACAGAAGCTCTGTGGTGTGACAGGACATTACGCAAGGTTGTGGGGACCAGTGTTGGTAACTATCGAGCTCATGGGCGTGAAAAACAGACAGAAAGTATACTTAGCTGACATTGAAGACCAATGCATATTAGGGTTGGACTATTTACTACCAAGGAAGTTTGTAATTAATTTTGATAAAATGACGTTTGGGAACAACAAAGGCCAAGTTCCGGTAACTGTTAAAAGAGAGGTTGAACTAATTAGGTGTCATCAAGCTGAAGTCAAGCCGACTGAAAAAGTTGATTATGATGAAGTGGAACCAAATATAGATATCAAAGCAGAACAGGAGAAAGATCAAGATTTGAAGCCAATAATTGATTCTCTAAAAGCAAGTGTCTTGCACCCTGCTTGGTAGAAGGTGTCTAGTCCAAGCCCTGTGACAAAGAACTATTGGGCACAATGGGACCAGTTGAAGCTTGAAGGTGGTATTCTTCTCCGGAGATGGGAAACTGCAGATGGGAAAGTGACGACCTGGCAAACAGTTATACCAAGAAAGTTGCGGAAAGTTGTGCTACGTCAATCCCATGATACTTTAACAGGAGGACATCTCGGAGTTAAGAAGACACTGAGTCACCTACGACAAAGATTTTACTGGATAGATATGAGACAAGATGTGGAAGAATGGTGCAGAACATGCAGTACATGTTGTGCTAAAAGGGGACCCAAGCATAAGGGACGTGCTCCAATCAAGTCATATCAAGTTGGCGCACCAATGGAAAGAGTAGCCGTTGACATTGCTGGTCCTTTGCCTCAAACTCGTGCCTGAAACAAGTACATTTGTGTGGTGATGGATTATTTCACCAAGTGGCCTGAGGCATATGCAATACCAAATCAGGAAGCTACAACTGTAGCTTCGGCTATTAGTGACTTCTTCTTCACATTTGGTATGCCATATGAACTGCATTCAGATCAAGGCCGTAACTTCGAATCAGCCGTGTTCCAAGAATGCTGCAAGTTGTTTGGCATCCGAAAGACCAGAACAACGCCACTTCACCCACAGTCCAAAGGGATGGTAGAAAAGTACAACTGGACACTGGGACAGGAATTGGCAAAAGTTTTGTAATAGCCGCCAAGATGACTGGGATGTCTTACTGTCTCCACTGCTGATGGCCTATAGGACAGCAGAGCATGAAGCCACTGGATACACTTCAGCAAAGTTGATGTTTGGTCAGGAACTTCGGTTGCCAGTGGATCTGTCAACAGGACACCCACCTTATGAAGAGTTGCCTGAAAATGTGTCAGAGTTTGTGAAAGTATTATCGGAAAGGATGAATGATATTCACCATCAAGTACGTTCAAACTTG